ACAATTCAACTGATTGCTGTTCTTCATTTGGGGTCAAGAAGTGCAAGGCTGAGTGCTGCTAGGGCTTTAAATGAACTTTTTGATGCTGAGAACATCCGAGATTCTGAAGCATCTATTCAAGCCATTCAGCCTTTAGCTGACATGCTTGGTGCTGCATTAGAAAGTGAACAACGAGTTGCTGTTAGCGCCTTGATTAAGTTGACCTCAGAAAGCGATTCAAAAGCATCACTGATGGCTGATGTAGAAGGGAATCCCCTTGGGAGTCTACATAAGATTCTTGCTTTTTCATCTCCTTTGGAATTGAAAAGTGATGCTGCCGAGTTATGCTTTGTACTTTTTGGTGATCCAAAATTCAGAGCTTTGCCAATTGCTTCTGAATGCATAGAGCCCCTAGTAATGCTAATGCAATCTGATGCAGAACAAGCTGTGGAATCTGCAGTTTGTGCTTTTGAGAGGTTGTTGGACGATGAGCAGCTGGTGGAGCTTGCATCAGCGTATGATCTTGTTGATCTTCTAGTTCATCTGGTTTGTGGCTCAAATCAGCGGCTCATTGATGCGAGTATTTGTGCACTTATTAAGTTGGGTAAGGACCGAACTCCTCGCAAGATGGATATGGTCAAAGCAGGCATAATAGAAAATTGTCTTGAGCTGCTCCCAACTGCATCGAGTTCCTTATGCTCCACTATTGCAGAACTCTTCCGCATATTGACAAATAGTAGTGCTATTTCAAAAAACCCAGCTGCTGCAAAAATTGTAGAACCTCTCTTTATGGTTTTACTGCGGTCAGATTTTGGACTGTGGGGACAGCACAGTGCTTTGCAAGCTCTTGTAAACATTCTAGAGAAGCCACAAAGTCTTGCAGTTCTGAATCTTTCTCCTAGCCAGGTAATTGAGCCTCTCATTTCCTTTCTTGAATCCCCAGCTCAAGCTATCCAACAACTTGGAACCGAGTTATTATCTCATCTCCTTGCACAAGAGCATTTTAAGAAGGATATAACAACGAAAAATGCAGTAGTGCCTCTTGTGCAGCTCGCAGGCATTGGTATATTGAACTTGCAACAGACAGCAATTCGGGCTTTGGAAAATATCTCATTAAGCTGGCCAAAAGCAGTTGCTGATGCTGGTGGTATTTTTGAGCTTGCAAAGGTTATTGTTCAAGATGACCCTGTACCGCCTGTTGCCTTGTGGGAGTCAGCCGCTATGGTTCTCTGCAATGTCCTATGCTCTAACTCCGATTACTACTTCAAACTTCCGCTGGTGGTTCTCGTAAAGATGCTGCATTCAACAGTCGAGAGCACTGTTACTCTTGCGCTGAATGCACTTATAGTTTATGAAAAGACTGATATTTCAAGTGCAGAACTGATGGCTGAAGCTGGTGTAGTAGACGCCCTCTTGGATCTGCTAAGATCTCACCAGTGTGAAGAAGCATCAGGAAAATTGCTTGAAGCTCTTTTCAACAATGTCCAGATACGAGAGCTGAAGGTATCCAAGTATGCAATTGCACCTCTGGCACAATATTTGTTGGATCCACAGACTAGATCGCAATCTGGTAGGCTTCTTGCAGCTCTTGCTCTTGGTGACCTCTCTCAGCATGAAGGACTAGCTAGAGCGAGTGATTCTGTCTCAGCCTGTCGAGCTCTGATAAGTTTACTTGAAGATCAACCAACAGAAGAAATGCAAATGGTGGCAATTTGTGCATTGCAAAACTTTGTAATGCGCAGTAGAACCAACAGGAGAGCTGTTGCAGAAGCCGGTGGAATTTTAATGGTTCAAGAACTGCTTTTAGCCCCAAATTCAGAAATTGCAGTACAGGCATCTCTGCTCATAAGGTTTTTATTCTCAAATCACACGCTTCAAGAATATGTATCAAACGAGCTTATCAGATCTTTGACAGGTAACTTTTCACTACTTTTTTCTGTTTTATTAATTCATTAGTTTTTCTGGAAGCCTGTTGAAATGATGCCAGCCATGTCCTGTGAAGAACTATTATGGAAGTAAACATAAACCGACCAAAGCCTATCTTAAAATAATGTTATATATAATCTGCTAAAAACCCAGAAAAGAGTCTTCAGATGTAAATCTATGTTCCAATGTTTTACCTCCGGAATTTTATGCTGCAATTTTTCTTTATATTCTGATTTTAATGTCCACACAAGTTGAAGTTTGGGTTAAGGCTTGAAGCATTAAATTGACAGCTGTACTTTTTCAGTGTCACTTTAGGAGCTAGCACTTAATTGAAAGCTTTAGATTCTCGGTGTCACTTCAGAAGCTAGTTCTGTAAACTAAAGATAGTGCTAAGAATTGTACAGCAGCCAAAAGGAAAACATAAGCATACTAGATCGATAGACCTAAAGCCTAATGCCATAAAATAAAACAAACCCTGTATATGAAGCAACCAGATGTCAGACTGTTTCTGCAATGGTATGTTGTTTCCAGCTGACTAGTTTTGCTTGTAGCATTTCAAATGCAGCAGTAAATCTTTCTGATATATGATTTTGGAGGCCCAAATTTCCATGATCTGTTTCTTAAGATAACCAAATCCTAGATCTTTGTTGTGCTTTTTGGTCTCATCTCCATTCTTCTTGTCATNTTGTTGTGTGCTTTTTGTTCTCATCTCCTTCTTGCTCCATTCTTCTTGTCACAAAATGTAGTACAAGTATTTCTTTTTCTTCTTATCTGCCTAAAACATTATATAATTTCTTGAAATGCAGCTGCACTGGAGAAGGAATTATGGGCCACAGCAACTGCTAATGAGGAAATTCTGCGGACCATTCATGTAATATTTTCTAATTTTCCCAAGCTCCATGTTTCTGATGCTGCTACACTTTGTATCCCTCATCTTGTGGCAGCATTGAACTCTGGTAGCGAGGCTGCTCAGGATTCAGTATTGACCACACTATGCTTACTCAAGCAATCTTGGTCAACCATGCCGATGGATGTGTCTACGTCCCAAGCAATGGTTGCAGCTGAAGCCATTCCCATATTACAGATGCTAATGAAAACTTGCCCACCAAGTTTCCACGATAGAGCAGACAACCTGTTGCATAGCTTACCAGGTTGTTTGACAGTCACCATCAAGCGTGCAAACAATTTAAAACAGGTGATGGGAGGAACAAATGCTTTTTGTCAATTGACTATTGGCAATGGTCCATCACGGCAAACAAAGGTAACAACTTTATGATTGTTGATGAAGTACAAAGATTTTTGTTATTCTGTAATCTGTTTCACTTTTGAAACCTTTTGCTTATCCTGAGATGACAGTTCTGTTCTATCACAGCCTATATGTGTATCAAGTACTCTGAGTTCCATGGATATCTGTAGATAATCATATTAAGAACATGCAGATTGCACACCAATTAAAGGAAGATCTCATGCTACGAATATTTCTGTGATATTTTTGTGTGGTTTCTTTTCTTTCCTTTTCTTTTTTTTTTTTCATTTTCATTTTGGAATTTTACTCAACATGCAGTTTACTTGATTATATTTGCTAGCAATTTCCAACAGATCAAACTAAAATACTAAATTAAGTCTCAACGGTTAAGTATTAAAATTTAGCAATGTCTTAAAGAACCTATAAATTGAAAAGCTTCTTGTCCAGGTCAGTTACATTTCATATTGACAGTCCATGGTTTATGATTAGGTTGTGAGTAACAGTACGTCGCCAGAATGGAAAGAAGGCTTCACATGGGCTTTTGATGTACCGCCCAAGGGACAAAAGTTACATATCTTGTGCAAAAGCAAAAACACATTTGGGAAGGTAACTAGCTTTATGTTCTGAATGTCCGATGTGAAGTTTTTGTTCTTTACCCATTTAATTTCCAGCCACAACATACACCAGTTTTACCAACTGCATTGCTACTTTATAGTGAAAATGATATATAAAGTGGGTTTGACGCTATGAGGTGCGTCATTTGGCAATAGGATGAGATAATAGAATGGTCACTCCTATCGCACTCACCATTTCTGATGTATAGATTACTTTGTTTCAGAGCTCTATCGGGAGGGTAACAATCCAAATTGATAAAGTTGTTAGTGAAGGGACGTATAGTGGTCTTTTCAGCCTCAGCCATGACAGCAACAAGGATGGCTCATCACGGACGCTAGAGATTGAGATTACCTGGTCCAGTAGGACGTCCAGCGAAGGTGAGTGAAGGGAAGCAAGACTGAAGTGATGCAACTTGAGGAGACAAAGTCGGAGCTGGACCTGGACCTGGTAAAAGAACAATCTCTACACATTCCAGCCTAATGCAAGAGCTATTGGGAGTAAAGTCCAAGTTTTGTTGTATCTAAAAGCATTGCTACCTGTGGGGGTAACTGTAAAATAGTAAGATTTTTGCAAGCGCAGAGAAGTTGATAGAGGTTGCCACGGTACAAGGTAAGTCTTACACTTAGCTTTTAAGCACCAAATTGTACAGTTTCTGCAGTTCTTAGAAATACGAATATCAAATAGAGATGACGATGAGAAGAACGAATGATCCGTTTTTCCTCTTAAATCTGTTGTAATGCTCATTCTACGTCCCAGCAGTGTATTTGTGATGCAAAGTATTAGCAAATGCCAAAGCTGATCCCTGTGCAAAGGGCCTGGCGTTAAACTTTATTAGTTTCTCTTCATGGGTACCTCTTACTGCTTTCTGACTCAATTTTGGCTACGCAGGTTTCTTTAAACCCACCGAAATGGAATAAGGTCATTCAATCCTAATATAATTTAAAATTCTTGGATTTACAATTGTAACATAATTGTCATTACGACCAAAGCTCAAACGATGATTGAAACAAATCTAATCTTACGCAAAGGAATCCTTTAGTTAATCAAATTATTTAAATAAAATTCTCAACCCAAATTTCCTAAAGTGATTAAGATAGGTTAAAGCCCATTGTACGGGAAGGGAACTCCTGGAGCATATCGAACATGAAAAGATATGATAAAAGGTCAAGATACCATCCAAAAATTTCATGTTTATGTACTAACTATAATAAAAATACCATTTTCGACTTCTTTTCTATTTTTCTTCGTTTAAATTGAATATATACACCAATTTTTTCTTTTACGCAATCGCCAATGTGAAAGCACAGAAACTACACCTACTTCTACAAACATCCGCACATGCCCAGTCATTGATCATTTGACCTTGGTCTCTTTTGCACGTGCGACGGAAACTCAAAGTGGGGTCCATTTTCTTGCTCAAAACGGCTTTTGCAGGTACATGAATATATCCTGAAGCGGCGACATTTCATAACAGCCCTGGAACTGAGAACCTAGCAAGCCGTTATCTCCGACGTCCGGGATGGCATCCATGTAATTAAATTGAAGGTCCAGGGCAGTTTTCTCCCAATCGCTCAATTTCGGCTCGCTCTGAACTTCTCTCTCACACGTGAACTCCGACGACAGCACCTGCTCCGAGCAGCTGGAATCAGTGTGAAGCTTCGGCAGAGAATCTGATGAATCGAAGTATATAAAGTCACTGTAAACCTGCGACGGCCTTGTCGAGATCGGCAACGGCAGAATCTCTGGCTTCACGTCCACCTCGCTCGCCGGCGGCGACATTCCGACATTCATTTTTCGACTATTCAATTGGTTCTTCTCCATCGTACCCTTCTTATTGTATATTCGGCATAAAACCCAATCGTCTAGCTGTCAACAAAAAAAAAGAAACAACCGTTGGATCAGTCAAAAAATCAAATCACAATGGTCGAAAAAATCTCAATCTAAAATCACACTCACTTCACTCTCTTGATAGGCGATAAGAACAAATAATAATTTTCTATAATAACAAAGTTAAATACAGTACTAATTAATTCGGTTCATTTACCCACCCTTAAGCTATTGTTCTTGTTACGAGCAGATCGATCAACATGAGCAAGCCGATATTCGTGCATAATCCAATTCGTCTTTTCTCCTTTTGGAGCTTTGCCTGCGTAAAATACCAGAGCTTTCTTAATTCCGACAGGCTTCGGATGACCAATCGGCTTATCTGCACCCGTCGCCTTCCAATATCCATTTCCCGCAGCTCGATTCGGCCGTGAACCGTTCGGATATTTCCGATCTCGCGGTGAAAAGAAATACCACTCTTTCTCCCCGTATAACGCCAAACCTAAAACCACAAAAAGAAAAAAACATGAATAAAATAAAAAGCACTCAAAAAGTTTCAGCTTTGGGAAAATAAAATTCTTCGTTATTACAGAATGAATCATTTGCAGGAAATACCTGGAAGATCCCATGGGTCGTACTTGTACAGGTCAATTTCAGCAATAATCGGGACAGCAATCGGCTGCGACGCACATTTTCGACATAGGTAGTGCATCACAAGCTCTTCATCAGTCGGATGGAATCGGAATCCAGGAGGCAATTGCAATTCCACCGCTGCCATTCTTTTACAATGATTTTGACTTGCTGTATTTGTGTATTTATTTTTCTTTTGATTGATAAATGGAGTGTGTAGATACTGATTACAGCGAGAGGCGCTCTGAAAGTTGAAACTTAGAACACTAGAGGGAGAAGGGAATATATAGGAGGAGAGAAGGACACGTGGCTAGAGAAGGCGGCGGGTTCTAGAATAAACGTGTGTGATATACTGGGGAAAAAAAGTAAAATAAATATAAAAATAAAGAAGGAAGACACGTGTCGTCAAGTTAAGCGTGGGTGTAGAGCTATGGATAACCAATATGGGGTGAGTTTGCTGGGATTTTGTCACTGCTTACGCATTGAGATTTGGATGGAAGCGTTAGAAGAGAAGGTACGTGGAAATAGTGTTAAGGGGAGGGAGTAAAAAGCTTAGTGAGGTGGAGGTACATTCAGGGATTGACTTGACCAAGTTATCACTTTTAGGATGACAAAACATCTCTCTTTATTTTGTTTTATTTTATTTGTTTGTGATTTCTCATATGTTATTATTCCTTTTGTGAGATTTTGCTTGATTTCTCTTACCTAGTGTATAGGGTAAAATATGTTTATATTAAATGATCGCATCAAGAAGTGACACGTCGAACCGAAAATAGAAGATAGTTGGACTCGAAGGCAAAGATCCCGTCTGTTACCAAAGAGAATGACACTCATAAAGGTAAAATAAATGTTTGCCACCCGATAACATTTAATGAAGAATATCCTATAACATTAAATACACAACCCGTTATAAAGAATATGACATTCAATGCCTGCCGTTACACACTCTTCAATGACCCTCACAATTGACATTAAAGAGGGGCTTGATCCTAGAACCTTGTTTTCTAGGTACAACTATAAATAATGAGCTTTATTACCATTGTATTTACACGAATTTTCTGGCAAATACACGCTACATTTTATTCAAAGCTCAATATAATTTTTATCTTCTTATTTGCTGATATCGTTGCTATTGTGTACGGAAGTCCTGCTCCCAGAATTACTATTTCTGCTATTTTATCTTCATCTCAAGGCTAAGTATCATATTTTTATCTAATTCATCTATTATTTTAGGATCAAATTAATTCATTTGTCTATAAATCACGTATAAATTCAACTGTACCGTTTTACGGGTAAACAGTTTGGCGCCCACCATGAGACTTAGACAGTTGTGTAATTAAGTTGGTCCTTGCCTCTTTTACTAACGTGTTTGATTATTTGTTCTTAGCAAAAAATCATAGAAAATGATAGATAATGATGTTAACAACACACACAACCTCGAAGCCCAAGAAAATCAGCCTCGACACGAGCATTTAATTTGTGATACCCGTAGTGAGTGGAACGAGGCCACTCTGGTCCACGAAAGGCGGTACTCGCGACATGTTCGAGAGGCAACTCCTGATGATGCTGAAGAAGAGCACGTCATCGAAGTGGTAAGGGTATTGCAGGAGCAGCAGGAGGCCATTTTAGGTTATCTCACACGGCATGATAAGATTATGACAGAACTGAAGCAGGCGTTATTGGGTGCTTCCAATAACGTGAATGGACGAGGTCTAGTTTCTCCCGGTGCTCCCGCAAATCAAACAATGCTAAGGGTCGACAACAACACCCCGAGGGGTGAGGTCGGCTTCGATGGGGCCGGGGGAAGCGGATTCGGTCATAACAATGAGAGCGATCGCTTCAAAAACGAGCTCATACGGTTTATGAAGGAAGTGAACGCCCGCTTGTACCAAATTTCGGGCGCACCACCAGTCAGACTCAAAGAAGTACACTCAAGTGCCGCACAAACCAAGCACGACACCAAATTGATCCCAAAGCGGTTTAAAATTCCTGATGTGCCGAAATATGATGGGACTTTAGATCCCCAAGAGCATATCACCACCTATACAATGGCGGCGAAGGGGAACGATTTAGCTCCCCACGAATTTGAATCAGTTTTTCTGAAGAAATTCGGATAGACTCTCACGAAGGGAGCCTTGACCTAGTATTCGCTTTTGCCTAAGCATTCCATAGATTCCTTCGAGGTGCTCGCTAATTCTTTCATTAAGGCCCATGCTGGAGCCAGAAAGATACAAGCCCGAAAGGCTGATATATTTAGGATTGCACAGGTAGAATCCAAGTTGCTGCGAGAGTTTGTAACCCGGTTCCAAAAGGCAAGGATGTTGCTACCGGCCGTTCCGGATAAATGGGCGGCTGAAGCATTCACCAAGGGTTTGAATCCACGAAGTTCCGATGCTTCCCGGAGGTTGAAAGAAAGTCTGCTCGAGTTCCAAGCGATAACTTGGGCATATGTTCTTGAAAATGTTGGTTTATGTTTAGTTAACAATGACATGCTGAAAATGTTGGTTTATGTTTAGTCAACAATGGCATGCCAATTGGAAGAGTTGGTGGAAAGAGTTGGTGTGGATGCTAGGAGGAAGCTTCCTCCTTTGATGTCACCCATGACATCAAGAGGAGGTAGTTTGATGTCACCAATGACATCAAGAGGAGGTCTTTACCTCTATAAATAGATGCACTCCTTCA